CAAGGCGGAGCCGGAGGGACGAGGGAGCCTGGTGCAGCTGGTGGATCGACGGGCGACGGTGGAGGTGAGGGAGCTAGGAGCCGAGGTGGAGCCGCTGGGTCTACGGGCCGAGGCGGAGTCCGGACCGAAGAGGCTGGAGGCAGAGGTGAGGGATGCTCCAGCCCTGGGGACGATGGAGACGGGCAGACCCCCGGATCTCGCACCGTGTAGAGATGGTGGGCTGAGGGCGAGCAGAGGGGCTGCCAGACGACAGCGGTGGAGGAGGCAGGAGTGGGTGGGGGGGCGGATATTTGTGAGCCTCTGAGCTTAACTCGGGAACAGGAGCCTTTTCAGCCAGCCACATTCCCAGATCCATGATAAGCTCACCCTCAGCCACGGTGCAGGGGGCGGAGCTCCTCTCCGCACTCTCACCGTCCTCGGCTTTTTCCCTCGGGGCAGGCACTATGACCGGCTCTCGCACCTGGTCAGATGGATTGGGCTCTGCTTCCGGGGCTGGCTTGTCGATTGTGGTGGGAACTGGCTCGAGAGTGGTACTCCTCGGAACAGACATTAATGGGGGTCCGTTTCTTGCCAGTATCCACTCTACAAAGGCTTCGAAATCCGCTCGAGGACCATCTCCAGATGACGGCGCTCTGTGCGTTCTATCACGCCAGCCTGAACACCGCGTACAGAGCGCATCGTCCGGATAGCTGGTAAGTTTGGCGAGGGCCAGAAACAGTCTGGTATGGTCCTCGAGCGAACGCAGGAGGAGGTACTCAGGGCGGGCGTGGGGATCCATGGGAAGACAATGGGAGGAAAAAAAAACATTGAACAAACGACGGAAACAAAACGGAGGGGAAACACGCAATTAAAGTTTTTGGTAGGTTGAGTCTTCTGTCACGGTTGTACTACAGCGAGGAGCGAGAAACGAGGAATCGTAGGAGAATTCACAGGAACACAGTCTTTAATAATCCCAAGGAACCAGGAACAAACATGTAGCAACAGGGAGTTGACATTTAAGACTCGACAAAGAAACACAGGGCAGAACACTTTAAATACACAACACAAACGAGGAAATGACAGGTGAGGGGATCAACTAATAATGAGACACACCTGGGAGCAATGAACACAATCAAACACAAGGGAAACCTAGGTCACGGTGTACATGGGGAGGAAAACAACACAGGTCCAAACTCCTGACACTTGGATTCAGGCAATATTATTTTAATGCACTGCAGAGCTATTCAGTTGTAAATCATGTACATTGGTGAAAGTGAAAATGAAGTGTGGCCAAGTATGGTGACCCATACTTGGGCTGCGTTCCAGTTAATTTTTTACACCCTTCACTCGCAAACTTCCCTCCGTCTCATTTACTCGGATGTATGTCATTGATTACATTGCATAAGTGCCCATTAGTGGCGGAACCCTTGCAATGCACTGAACTGGAACGTCCTAAGCCCTTGATCACTTAGTAAACCAACTCTATAGCGGATTCTGTTTTCATTTTGTCCCTTTACGAATTTGTTTGGTGCAGCATTCTATATTGCGCTGTTATAAATGTATAAAAAAAATAATTATATTATAGAGTTGTTTGGGGTGGGGATAAATTAAACGCGATCTGAGATGACGTCATAATCATGTTGCATTGTGGTCTATGGAGTGGCCTGAAGTGTGCATATGAAGCAGACTTGCTCCCTCAGACAAAATCGAGGGGTCGACGGTATGTCCATATAAACTTCCCTCATCCACTTGACGAAGTGGAACGCACTTCAAAATTGCGCTGGGGGTTCCACCGAGGGGAAATGCTTAGGGAAGTTTGCAAGTGCGTGTCTAAAAATGAACTGAAACACAGCCTTTGAATTTATGCTCTGCATTTAACCCATCCAAGTGCACACACCCAGAGCAGTGGGCAGCCATATTGCTGTGGCACCCAGGGGCCAGTTGGGGGTTTGGTGCCTTGCTCAAGGGTCTCACCTCAGTCATGGTATTGAGGGTGAAAGAGAGTGCTAACAAAGCTTGGAGATGCTGGGGATTGAACCCAAGACCTCATACATGCAAGGCATGCGCTCTACCACTGAGCTACATCCCCAGTCATGGATTTTGTTTAATGACATTAATATACTTGAAAAGTGTGTGTAGTGCTTGGTGCACATTTCATCCGTGGAAAACAATTATATATGAAGATCAGATGTTTTATGTGACATAAAAATGGTTCAAGACGCACACGGGAAGGGCTTCCATGAAGCACGTTTGGCTCAAGATAAAAATAAAGCGCTTGTGGTGCGAACCGCTTCATTGTTTTGACGTGCTGCTCAATTTATCTAGAAATGGTATAATGCCATTGTCTCGCGGTCCAGTTAAAACCAAGCCGGGGACCAGACCCCGACCGCGGTCCACCATTTGAATGGCTTGATAAAATGAACATTAATCTTTATATAATCTGCATTAGTGTTAAAAGTAACACTGAAATCTACTGCAAATAAGAGACTATTAAATGTCTAAAAATCTCGGCAGATAATGATTAAACAAATTCAAAAACAGCATTACCAGCTTCACTT